GTTTTAAGCCACCGGGTCCAGGACACGAACCGCGGTTGACTACATGGGAATCCAGCGACATAGCCATTACGCTAACTGCTGGTTCCCTATTTTCTTTTATTATTTATTTTTAAAATTTGACCAGAGAGAGAGAGTGAGAAAGCAAACCACCAGGTCTGGGACTTGAACCACCTTTAATCACCATGCCACTTGCCAGTCCCCAGTTCTGTAGTTTAAAAATGGGATTAAAAGGGCCATCAGGTGGCATGGTGGTTAAGGTATTGGCCTAACCACCTGGCTGACTGTGATTCAAGTCCTCGGCCTTATGGCTTGTTTTCTCTCTCTTGTGAGCATATGTGCCCTATAGCAAGTTTGAAAAATAACAAGTAAACCTATTTTTTATTAAAAAAAAAAAAATAGAATTTAAAGGCTAAGTCCTATGGCCTAGGGATTAAAGGAACTTGAATCCCACATGGCTAATCATGTGGTTTGAATCCCAACCCCATCAGCTTGCACAGCACACTGGAAGCATGTGTGTGCTTACCCAAAATTCCAATAAGATGGAGAAATAGAGAATGGATTGCTGTGTCACCAGGCCCCATTGGGGGATGCTTTCTCCCTCTCTCCATCTCTCGTGAGCACACTTGCTGGCTGTTTAGATTTTTGTCATAGAGTGCATATACTCACTGTAAAGGAGAGAGACAGATTCAGAGAGAGGGAAGGTGAGAAATCGCCCCTGGAAGGGAATGGCCACATTGCAGCCCTTCTCCCATCTCCTCTTGGGATTTGGGATATGCACACATACGCGCCTGCATGATTTTCAAGCTGCCAGGTCTAAGACACACACTGTGGTTGGCCATATGAGAGCCTAGCATCTTTTTTTTCTTAATTATTAATTTAACTTTATTCATTCATTTATTTTTAATTTGCCCAGAGAGACAGGGCAGAGGTAGGGGGGAGTGAGAAAGCAAGCCACCAGGTCTGGGATCTGAACCATGGTTGGCCATAACGCCTTAACCACCATGCCACCTGCTGGTCTCAGGAGCCCAGCATCTTAGCATCTTACGCCATCTGCTAGGCTCACTGTCAAAAAAATTTTTTAAGGAATTATTTATTTATTTCCATTTGTTACTATTATTATTTTTAATTTGAGAGAAGAGGAAATTGAGAAAGCAAGCCGCCAGGTCCAGGATTCGAACTACAGTTTACCATGTGTAAATACAGCATCCTTAACCACCATGCCTCTTGCTGACCCCCAAAATTTTTGAAAAGGGGGTATTTGAAAAGGATATGTGCTATCTCAGTGTGTAATCGTCTGTTTTTTGCTAAGGCGTATTTTGCCATCTCCTGTCTTCTCACAGGACATCATGGCGATGTTGGCGCTCCCATCGCTGATGTGATTCTCCCAGGAGCTGCTTACACAGAGAAGTCTGCTACTTATGTCAATACTGAAGGCCGAGCTCAGCAGACTAAAGTGGCAGTGACACCTCCTGGTCTGGCAAGAGAAGACTGGAAAATTTTAAGAGCCCTCTCTGAGGTAATATTTTTGAAGCATTTCTTAGTGATGCTGACAAAGGAGTATTTGACCTGTTAACTTGTTAACATGATTTTCAAAGTCATGGAAGATGCCAGTCTGAAATGTAGAGATGTGAATAATCTCTTTGGAAAAAATGTGTATTTCAAGTTGGTTCTTTTTCTTTTCTTTCGTTTGTTTGTTCTTTTTTTTTTTTTTTTTTTTTGGGGGGTTTTCCCTATCGCTCGCCAGACAGAGAGAGAGAGACAAAGAGACAGAAAGCGAGAAATCACCCCCCAGAGGGGATGGTCACGCCGCAATCCCTTCTCCTCCATTCTCCTCTCGGGATCTTGGGCACGCACGCACACACGCCCAGCGTGAGGTTTTAAGCCACCAGGTCCGGGACGCAAACCGCGGTCGACCACGTGGGAGTCCAGCGACATAGCCATTACGCTAACTGCTGGTTCCCCGTTCTTTCTTTTTTAATTACCAGATTATAAATGTACTCACTAGAGAGAAACACAGAGACAGAGAGCAAGAAAATACCCCTACAGTGGAATGTGGTCATACACCAATCCTGTATCTTTTTTTTTTTAAAGGTTTTTGCCATAGGGCACATGTACTCTATGGAGAGACAGAAACAGAGAGGGAAAGTGAGAAATCACCCCGCCATGGGATGACCACATAGCAATCCCTTCTCCACCATTCTCTTCTTGGGGTTCTAGACATATATGCACACATGCCCGGCATGATTTTCAAGCCTCTGGGTCTGGGATTTAAACTGACTGGTCATGTGGGAGTCCAGCTCCCTGCCCTCCATGCGACCTGCGAGCCTCTCTCCAATTCTTTATCCTGTCAGGATTTTGGAAGCGTACCTGATGTGTTTTTCAAGTTGCTGGGTCCTGGATTTGAACTATGGCTGACTATGCAGGATTCACCTCCCTTAACCATTAGCTATGGGGCTGGCCCTGAAGTTCCTATTTTCATTGTCGTGGGTTTTTTGTCTATACACAGTTTTGTTTTAGTTCCTTTTGATGGAAAAGTAAGCACCATGGGCTGTGGCGGCACAGCTTGGGATTGCTGCTGGGCAGTGGCTGAGGCTTCATGAGAGGCCTGGGTTCAGTTTTGGTCCAACCTATTACACAGGCGGAGCACAGTGGTGCACACCTGTGGTCCTACCTAGGAGGCTGGAGCATGAGGTTGCGAGACCCTGTCAAAAACTGCTATCTTTCTCTTTTTTTCTCTCTCTGTTTCCCTCCCACATGAAAAATCAGTATCATGAAATTTAAGATCATACACTGTCGGTCAGCCTCATGTGCAGCAGATTAGGACCTATGCCTGGGAACCTGAATCCCACATGGCCAACCACAGTTTGAATCCTGGCCCTGGCAACTTAGGGAACATGCTCTGTGTGTGTACATGAGCATGCTTGATGGCACAGAGAAATGGAGAAGAGACTGTGGTATGGCCACACCCTTAAGGGAGACTTTCTCTCTCTCTCTTTTCCTCTGGTCAGACACATGCTCTCTGGTAATAAAAGAAAAAACTTACTAAAAAGGAAAATTGGGGGAGCAGCAGATGGCATAATGATCACATTGTTGCAATCTCACATAGTCAACTACAGTTCAAGTGCCTGATCCAGAGACCAGCAGATGTCATAAGGGGTACATTGCTTGACTTCCATGTAGTTGATTGCGGTTCAGGCCCTGGACCCAGCAGCTTAAAACTCATGGCGACAGCTTAAAATTCACACCGGGCGCCTATGCATGTGTGCCCAAAATCCTGAGAGGAGAATGCAGAGAATGGATTGTGGTGTGGTCATCTCCCCTGGGGGGAGTGATTTCTCACTTTCTATCTCTCTCTGTCTGTCTGGTGAGCACACTACATGCTATTGCAAAAATCTGTCTCAAAAAAAAAAAGAGGCGCTGAGCGATCCTCTAATTTTTGTACTAAACATGAAGCCGGCTAGTGGCAGTGGCTTCATGGAAACACAACATCTCACGATGTGCTACACGCTCAGGTACCAGATTGATTTCCTGAGGCTCCCTGTGCGCATACGCTTGTCTGAGATCCTAGCTGGCTGGGGCGTGCATGGATCGTGGTCTGAATTCCTGTTGGCAGTGCCCTTATCTCTGTTTCTCTGTCTCTCTCATGAAAGACATAAATAAACTCAAGAGAAAAGAGAAAAACATGAAACAATGTATTTTAACTTGGTCTGGTCACTACTGTGTCATGTCATACTGTATATTATTGTATTGGCTTGTGTATCAATGACCCAAATAATGCATATTGCAGCTGCTAGTACAAATCTAAAGTTTCTCTATATTTTCCTCACATTGATATTTCTTTCTTCCTTTACTGTAATGATTTTTAAAAAAAACATATTTATTTATTATTATTAGTTTGGTTTTTTTGTTTGTTTGTTTTCTTCCTATAGGACACATGCACTTGCTGAACAGAGAGACAGAAAGTGAAAAATCATTCTGTGGGAATGACCATGCCGCAATCCCTTCTCTTCCATTCTTCTCTAAGCATTTTGGGCAAGCATGCACACACACCCGGTGTGAGTCTTAAGCCTCGGGGCCTGGGACTCGAACCATGGCTGACTATGTGGGAGTCCAGTGACATAATCATTATGCCATCTGCTGGTCCCTTACTATTATTTTAAAAATTTGCTATAGGGCACTTGCACTCACCAGAGACAGACAGAAAGAGACAGAAAGAGAGAAAAAGTGAGAAAGCAAACCACCAGGTCTGGAACTCAAACGATGGTTGGCCATGTGAAAACCAGCTCCTTAACTACCATGCCATCTGCTGGCCCACCACAATGATTATTGCTCCTATTTTCTTTCTTTTCCTTCTTATTTTATTCTAATTTCCTTTTTGCATTTACCACTTTCATTTTAAGTAATTCTTACACTTATTTTTGCTTTTGATTAACTTTTCCCTAGGTTCACAATATTAAATAATTTATTAATATATTTATGTTATACAAAGTATCAGCTAATATTACAAAAAAAGTAAACGTTCTGTTTTTGCAACAATACCAAATAGTTCTCAATGAAGGTGCGAAAAATAATCATGACAAATCGGATCAATATGACTGAAATTATATGTTATCATCACTCTTGAACTGGAAATTTTGAAAAAGATGGTCTATGATTTTTTTTTCTTTTTTCTTTTCTTTATTCATGATGGAGCATGTGTGCAGATGCATGAGAGTGAGAGTGAGAGACCACTGAGCCTGGTCACACCCAAGATGCCCTTCCTCCGGGCCTGCAGCCCTTGGCTTCTGTGTTTCAGGCTGACTGGGTGCGAGAGTCAAATCAGCAGCCAGGTAGGACCCAGCGTCCTTGAGCAGTACATCACCTCCTGCCACAGAACTGGCCTCTAGGCTGGGTTCGAATTTTAATTTATGCTTGTGTCTATGCAGAATGGACCAGAATAATGCAACCAACAAAAGTATTATTCAAGTTCTAAATTTGTATCAAGGTCACAACAATCAGGAACCTTTTAGTTGCAGAAGACCGAAACTCAACTCAAACTGGCTTTAGCTAAAACAATCATCATTTCAATAAAATCCAGATGCTGCTAACCACAAGATGGCTGCTGTGCCGCATCAACTGATGGTCAACTCTGCTTGCCAGAACCGCCTTCCTGAAACTGTATTCCATGGAGACTCACCTACAGTTGCGGAACTGCACGAGACCCACACTTGATCCAACCTTGAATGGAATCTATTTTCCCTATTGTTAAAAACTTTGGACTCGTGACCCCTCTCCCTCTACTCGCAGGTATCGCATTTTCAATGACCCCTCTGGAGGATAGCTGTCTATAGCAGAGATAGAGTAATTGGGAGAGGGGGAAAGGGCTGAGGGTCAAACATAGGATAAAAAACATATTTATATGTATGAAAGTAGAAATGGAACAGTATTGGTGACGACATGCTTGATTAAGACACTATGTAGTTTATCCTAGATGGGAAACTACACTTGGTGTGTTGTGATGATACTCAGGGAATGAGTGTTAGGCAATATAATTTAATATAAAAAAAGTAATAAGCAGGAGGAAAAAAAAATGCACATTTGATGACTGAAGAGAGTTGTATGGACACAACTGGGGTCTACTTTATAATATGTTCATTCTACTCCCTGGGGTTTATGCCTAGGATCAGATTTGGATACATGTGTAAGGATATGTCAGCTGTGCTAGCTAGTGGATATACTTAGACTAATTGAGTTCATTGGTAGAACAATTGAATGGGGGGGGGCGGAAGGCATTGAGGGCAATCATGAATGTCAGGGACAATGGAGGAGGAAGATGGGACATGGCAGAGGGTGGGGATGGGGAATCTAGGATGGCAAAACAAAAGGCAAGGTATGCAGGACACAAAAATTGGGAAATCATTTGCTGAGAACATATATGTTGATGTGCTTGATTGAGCCAATGCACAGTGTATTTTGGATGGAAAATTCATATGTGTGTTGTGATGAGAAAAAAAAAATTTATAATAAAAAACAAAGTATAAAAAAAAAAAAAAGGAGAGAGAAGAGGATAAAGACAGCAGTGAACAATAGAGAGGCAGGATGTTAATGAGAAATAGATATGGTTTATTACCTGTTGATGATGACATGTATAGTATTCTCAACTGAACTGGTCTGGGAAATATTTCATGATGGGTGAAGTCTTTTTAATAAGCAAAACGAGAAATAGTGATTGACTGTCTAAAAAAATTATAATAATAATTATTGGGAAAAGCATGGAAAAGATATTGAATGATAAAGCGGGGAGATTGATATCTCTGTATTGACTGACATGTATGGCATTCCCTTTTGAAAAAAGCAATGGAAGTC